CTTTAGGTTGGTTGGCTAAGAACAAAACTATTTTTCAATCTGAAAAATACCTCGCAATGAGTTTGTTATTGTTTATAAGAAAGGCCCACTCTAGAGCAGAATTTGAGTTGTTGGATTGAATAGCCAAATATGAACGCTTCTTCCTTTTGCCATATCACAAGAGGATTTACATATGCAGTACCTTGGCCATTGAAAATATTGCTCATGTCCATGGTCATTTCCAGCTTGCCTTTCATTTGTTTAGTGCTCTCTTAGATTGCCAGCCAGTTTCACAATTGTCCTTTGTATGGTTCATATTTGGGCAGTTATTTCAAAAGACAAGCATCTCAAGAGTGGTTTGGAAGTCCTCTCTGTTCTCAGCATGCCAGTTCAGCTAATCAGTTCCTTTCATAAAGGCAGGAACAGAAACAAGGCCACAATGTTTCTGTAACTTTTTTTTTGAAGTGAATTTTGGCTGTAAGAGGAAAAGCCAATTGTTACCACATGAATCTATTTAAAAAAAAAGCTCCACAGTGAAGGAAGCTGGAATATATTTCAGGGTGTGGTCCATGCATAAGTGTCATATGCCCAAATCAAATGAAAAAAGCTGTTCAGCTGGAACATATAACTGATTGCAAAGGGTACAGAGGAGACCTATAAAGCCTGAGGGTTTTATCTGCTTTTTGCCATTTGCTCTGGTCTGTTAGCATCCCTTTTGCAGCAGCTGAGCCAACAATTCAGTGTTATGATCAACTAAAAGACTGCTTTATGTGGCTAGCTGTACTCACAACACATGTTTTAGCAAAGGGGATGGAGCCCTTCTGAGATGAGAAGGCTCTCCTTCCTCAGAGAAAATAAGAGGGTTTAGTGGAAGCAAATATAAGGTTTCATTGTTTTCCAGCTCTGCAGTCTCCTCAGATCTGCTTTGAAGACATGAAATAAATGAATGCATTTTAGAGGGTATGTTGCAAAAAGATGTCTCTAATTTCTAAATGGCATTGTCATCTTGATATTGCAGCAATGAACATTTTGAAATAGTAGAGGGTTGAAATTGTTGTCAAGCAATCACATAAAAGCAATTGTGACCGTTATCACAGAGTTCCTACTGTCAATGAAATTGATGTCCAAGCTGATGACCAAACTCCTAGATTCTGTTATCATGTGTATGGAACTGCCCAACTCAGCAAGAAGCCCACAAATGACATAACTCCTAGTTGGGGAAATTATATGGAAATCTTAACATAGACTCATGAATCCTTCAACACCCAAGCAATCGGAACTGATCTTTTGTTCTGGATTTTTAAAAATCTTACAAAAGTACTGTATGTTTTTGTACTGCCCAAATTTATGGTACTTCTAATGTTTTCTGCACCTGTTTTGAACTTGCTACAGCATTTTGCATATCTCATCTTAGGTTTATGTTCCCCAAATCATCTTAGGTCCATCAATATGCTAGTTAGTAAGCTGTATGTTTTATACATGTGTGATCATATAGCACATGATAGGAAGTATATCTCTTAATAATAGCAATCTATGTAGTCTTGACTTACAACAGTTCATTTAGTGATGGTTCAAAATACTGAAAAAGTGACTTATGACCATGTTTCACACCGTGACCTGACAAAAGGGCGAACGTCAAAACCGCACCCGACTAAACTGCGTCGCTAAAACCGCGACGTCATCAACACTGTGACAACAGTGCGGCGACAACAGCGCGGAGACAGAAGAGTGCTTTACAATATCACGGCAACAGAAAGCTGATTTAACTTAAGGTAAGGGTTAGGTTTAGGGTTAGGTTTAGGGTTAGGTTTAGGGTTAGGTTTAGGGTTACGTTTAGGGTTAGGTTAAGGGTTAGGTTTAGGGTTAGGTTTAACATTTGTTTAGGGTTACATTTAGGGTTAGGTTTAGGGTTAGGTTTAGTTTTACAGCGCACTTCTGTCGCCGCGCTGTTGTCGGCGCGATTCAGTGCTCATTTGTCGGAGCGCTTTAGAACACATGGTTTTGTCACCGTGGTTTTGTCGTTCACCCTTTTGTCAGTGAACCGTTTCACACTTGCATCTCCATGATCATCTGATGAAAATTCAGATTCTTGGCAACTATCCTTCTCACATTTTTTATTACATACTTCTATTGTCATCATGACTATCACTTGTTGGTTGTATTTTATTATTTATGCTTGTATCTTATGATTTATCACTTTGTTGCTTGTATGTACTGAGAGCTTATGCACCAAAGGCAAATTTGTTGTGTGTCCAATGAAACTTGGCAAATAAAAGAATATTCTATTCTATTCTATTCTATTCTATTCCATTCCATTCCATTCGATTCTTCTGACAAGCAAAGTCAATGGGAAAGACAGATTTACTTAGCAACCATGTTACTAGTTTAACAACTATAGGGATTCACTTGACAGCTGTGGCATGAAAGGTCACAAAATGGGGTAAAATTCACTTAACTGTCTTGCTTAGCAATATAAATGTTAGGCTCAATTGTGGTCGTAAGTCAAGGACTACTGACTTGTTAAAGGAGCCTCATAGCAAGATTCCTTCTTTTTTCCAATTCAAGATATCGTGATAATTATTTCCCCAAATATTGTGTATACAGACAAGCAAATACATTTTGAAATATGAGACTATGTCCCTTGGATCCAAAGTGGCTGGTTTTGTACATTGTATTAACAAATAAGCCATTGTATCTTTAATGATGGTTTGCTGAATAACCCAACATAGTATTGAGGTTTGCTCAGTAATAAACAAGGAAACCCCATTATAATGAAAAAAGACCTTGGACCTTGGTAGCAGGAGATTGATATAAATAAATAAATAAAACATTAGGTTCAAAAGTAGGAATTAATGTTAATACTTGCATTAACGTAATTTAGTTCAATTTAAGGTTGCAAATATTCTTGTGAAATCATGTAACTTCTGTGGAGGAAAACATGAACAATATAAGATGAACTACAATGTTAAGGTGACCAGACGTCCCGATTTCAGCGGGACAGTCCCTCTTTTGAACAATTTGTCCTGCATTTTTTTAAAAAAGTCCTGGTTTTTTTTAAGTTACGAAAAAGCCTCCAGCCGCCTTGAGGCTCTCCTAGCAACTGGGAGTGTATATTCTTCGAGCCGAGCGCATTCCCGCCCGTGCATCCTTGGGAGCTGTTGCCAGTGGCTGAGGGAGGAGAAAACTTTACTCCATATGGAGACCGCGGGCTTCTCTCACGGATTTTTTCTTCTTCTGTTGCTTTGAGCAGCCCATCCCTCCCCCCCTCTCTTTCTCTCTTTCTCAGAGCTAGCGGCTGCCTCCGAGACTGTCCACTTAGCGACTGTTGCAGCATCCTCAGGGTCACGTGATCAAAATTTTGATGTTTGGCAACAGATTCGTATTTATGATGGTTTCAGTATCCTGGGGTCATATAATCGCCTTGTGTGACCTTTTGACAAAATATAAAATTTTTAATCAAGCCCCCCTGTCAATGGTGTCCCTCTTTACCAATCTGAAAATCTGGTCACTTTATACAATGTACAAGTATTAGCTATTATGACCATTGCATATATCTAGGCATAAGTCATGCCAAAGCAAGAAAAAGAATCCCAGAAGTATCATTGCATTTCATACTTCTATCTTAAAGAGATATAGATCTCTTTAAAATCTTGTGCTTGGTCTTGGATAAGAAAGAGAAAGTGGCAGAATGCCACAACCAAGCATTGCATGCTGGAAAAGAATGATGGGCATTATCATTTGGCCTAATCTCATGATCTATAAGCTCTCGAGTCCTGAATTGACTTTACATCAAGAAATACATAATCAAAAGCGAAGTATGAATTCATCAGGGGAGAGGAAGTATAGAAAAATGTCAAAATTGTAGATATAGAGAGTAGAGCTCTAATCATGATTGTACAATAACTACCAACTTTGTTTTTTTCTTTTAAAAGACTTCTCTGTGGATTCTGTTGACTGAGCCAGGTCTTGGTTTAAAAACTTAAAAACATTAAATAGTTATAACATTAATCATATATCTGAACCTATGAGTAACTTTTTAAAACCAAAATGTATTCAGAGTATAAAACTAAGAATCTATATATATAAAAGTGACATGCCACTCATGCGACAACATGAAATCTCCAGAACCATAAAGCCTACATGTTCCTTTTACCTTCTAGGTGCTTGCTAAAAAGGATTTTTCAAAATGACCATCAGATCATTAGTATTGCTTATATTATTATTAAAATGTTCTGATGCTAGGGAGTTAATCATTCTACTCCCCCTCCCAACCCAAAAAGAATCCTGTTCCAACTGCCACTTGGGTGTGGCCAGCGCGTGACTCATCCGGCCTGCGAGCTGGGAGTTTAGACATTCTACTCCCCCTACATACCTGAAAAACACTCTGATGTTAAGGAATTAGACTACATGGTATTGGACCTGGGTACAGAGGCCTCTGTGGGGCAAGCTTGAGGGAGAGAAAAGGGATAGGAAAGGCCTCTGTGGGGCAAGCCTGAGGGAGAGAAGGGGATAAAAGAGGATCAATGGGGCCAGCCTGAAGGAGAGAAGGGGATAGCTAGGAGAAGCTTCTTTGGGGCAAGCCTAAGGGAGAGAAGATAATAGGAGAGGATCAATGGAGCCAGCCTGAGGGAGAGAAGGGGATAAGATAGGCAAGGCCTCTGCGGGGCAAGCCTGAGGGAGAAAAGGGGAAAGGAGAGGATCAATGGGGCCAGCCTGACGAAAAGAAGGGGATAAGATAAGAGAGGCTCTGTGGGGCAAGCCTGAGGGAGAAAAGGGGAGAGGATAGGAGAGGCTTTTGTGGGGCAAGCCTGAGGGAGAGAAGGGGAGAAGAGAGGCCAATTGTAACTATCATTAATTTTCAGGCTCAAAGTGTCGGTTTAGCAAGCCCGATCACATAGTTTCATAGCAGAGCACGGATATCTAGCTAGTACTGAAATAAAACAAAGGATGGATTTTTTAAATGCTATGGGCATTCAGAAGACCTGCAGTTCTCATTGATTATCATATTGAAAGAAAAGCACTATCTCCAGAACATTATGGTTGCAACTCGAATTGTATTCCACATCAAATTCCAGGATAGTCAGTTGAATGCTACTACTTGGTGCTGTGTGAATATATCAGTAACATTCCCTGTTTTGTGAGTTCCTATTTGGATAGCCAGGGCTATGGAAAGATCCAGATGGCTCAATTCTCCACCACACTCTGAAAACAAAAACCAGGCAGTACTGGTTGGAAAACTAGAGGAGGAGGAGGAGGAGGCGGAGGAGGAGGAGGAGGATGTTGACAACTACTCATTCCAGCAGACTCCAGACCCACAAATGTGGTAAAAACAATTAAAAATATAAAACAACACAGAGACCCCAACAAAGCAAATTTAAAGCATAAAATGCACACACTTGTACATACAGCAGTTTTACAATAAGTTTCCTTTTATATAGCCCTATTGATCACTTCTTTTAAATCTATTTCTACTACCACTTTCTAAAAATAGAATTCTAACTTTTTACTATTTCATAATTTTCCGGTCATGAGATAGAAAGATTTAACTCCCATTTCCAAAACCTTTCATATATACGTTTGGAAATGAAGGTGAAATCTGTCTCCAATGACTGGAAAACTAATGAGTTGATGCATTGCTGGATTAATTATTTTAAAAAAACGTACACACACACAGGAAGAAATAGTCCAGGAAAAGTAAAATAGAAATAATAAAATTCTGCTGGGTTTCAAACTGGCAAACTTGTATTTACAGGGCAAGCATTGTAGGTATTGCTATTACAACATTCGGAATGAAGATAGCACCAAAATATTTTAGAGGCAATGCTAATTATTGGCTTTCTTTAAAAAAACATTGTATTGATTTTATTTATATTTAATCTAATTTTCATCAAACAGTGTTTGGTCTGGGTACAGTAACGTTTCATCAGCCATAGTATTCATTTTTGTTATAACATTCATCGCCATAATAGTAGTTGTACAATCATAGTAATATAATCACAATGATTCTTAACATCCTCTGCCTTAACAATTCTCCACTTTAATATTCCCTCTTTTAATATCTCTTCCTTTCTAACTTCTCTCTTTCTTATCTGCCAGTCAGACCCCTATAAAATCAAGTTTGTCCCATTTCAAAAAACAATAGAAAGTATAAGAAAAAAGAACACTACATAAAATAAGAAGGCGAGGGGGGAGAGGGAGAGAGACACTGCTAAAAATAATACCAGAAAAAGGAGAATTGTTCCTTCATTATTTCTTGCCTGCTTCAACCTTATAGTTGCTATGCTTTAAATAAAAAAGGAGGAGAAATGCAAAACCAAAGGAAGGAATACGGCGGGAGGTAGGCCAAAAAAAAAAAAAAAAAGCATAGCAAATAAAACATGGAGGCAGGCAATAGACCACTGATGGCTAACCTTTTTCTAAAGTTGTGCCACAATTGTGAGTGTGCGCATGCTATTGCACATGCACCCACCCCCTGGGCATGCATGCATGACCCACCCCCCTGGGCATATGCGTGTCCCCCCCTTGTGAGGAAGAGTTTTCACCCTCCCCAGGCGCTGGAGGCTTTCCTGAAGCCTGGGGGAGGGCAAAAAACAGTCCAACTGGAAGTTTGGGAATAAACTTCCGGGTCGCCTGTTGGGCCATTTTTCGCCCTCCTTCCGAAGCTTGGGGAAGGCAAAAAACAACAACAACATCTCAATAGTCAAACTGGAAGTTCAGGAACTAACTTCCAGTTGGCCTGTTGGACCTGTTTTTCACCCACTCCAGACTTCGGAAACTTTCATGAACCTGGGGAGGGCGAAAATGGCCTCCCTCGGCCTCCAGGAAGGCCAAAAACCATCTATTTCTATTTCTATTTCTATTTCTATTTCTATTTCTATTTCTATTTCTATTTCTATTTCTATTTCTATTTCTATTATTTCTATTTCTATTTC